AGAGTGTTGTTCAGCATGGGGGTGAGTAGAAAATGAAGGCTAATCATGTTTTGGGTGTACTATTCCTTTAAACGGTCAGTTAACCGAGTTGCTATACAGTCCTCTATATAGTCCCTGCTCTATATAGTGATTGTGGGGTTTAGGGGTTAGGGCGGATGTTCGGAAACAGCCAATGTTTTAAAAAATGTTTTCCCAACAGCCAGTTATTGAAATTCTAAAATATTACCAGTTCATTCTGGGCAAGATACATTAATAAAGCATCTGTTTGTTGCAGCTGAAAAATTGATTATAGAAAAGCGCTGCTGCATTATGGGTCACCCTCGCGCTGTGATTGGTCCAATTTGTTCTAGACCGCAGACTATTGAGACTTTCTGGACTCAAGCAGTTATAGATTGTTCACTGTCCTCTACTATAAGCTTTACTAGTCCCGGTGCAGCTAAGGAGAACTGGAACAGTTACCTGCAGCACAGATCCCATCAAGGAGGCAATGTAGGCCATAGCCAGACACACCAGTCCATAGACCAAAGCTGGGAGGGACAGGATGGACAACAGGTTAAAATGAATGGTAGCAAAAATCACTCCAAAGTCAAAGCAACTGCCTCAAAAACACGTCTTACCGAGTCCTTTGGACATAAGAGTGGCCTTTGATTCAGTCATGTTTGGAAAGTAAGGTTTTATCAGGTCCTCCATGGTTACCGTTGCTAAGGAGTTGAAAGCTGAGGAGATGGTGCTGGAGGGGGATAAAAAAAAAAAATAGAAAAAAAGATTGAGTGTTTGAAAGAACAAAGCTAGAGCTCTCAGGGCTGCTACTGAAATGACGTCAAAATTCACAGCCAGTTACAGACAAGAGACGCTTTCCTGGGCGGAGAAAAGGTTAAGCCCCGTCCTTCTCTACTGATAATTAATGGATGATATTCTGTGTGCCTAAAAGTTTCAGGTCGAAATTATATCGTTAAATCATCAAATACAGCAGGTTTGGATCTTGGAGATTTTGCTGCTGTTAACTAGTGCTGGAAAAAAACTCTGAAGATGATCCAAAAGTGATTGCCGCATAGAGATTGCCCCCCTGTGTATATATATATATATATATATATATATATATATATATAAATATAAATAAAACTGTAACTGGAGAATGTAACAAAAGTAATTTCCCTCTGGGATTATTCAAGTATTTCTGATTCTGAAACGTTTTCTGCAGCTCGTCTGTAGCCGTTTAACGGCTTCGCTGTATTTTTGTTGGTGCTTACCTGAGCGCTCCACTAAAGAGACAGGCCACAAACAGTCCAGGCAGGCCGGGCAGCTCCTTGAACACATCCATGACAAAGTACAGCACCATCTGCGCAGAGGAGCTCAGCGTCAACAGGCAGCAGCTCAGCTTTTAGGCTGATCCGATCTGAACACGGCGGGGCTCACCTGGTCGGTGGTTTTGACGTAGCCCTTGACCAGAGGGCTGTCCTCTCCGTAGCGAGCAAACATGACCAGACCCATCAGACAGCCCATACACAGGACGATCTGCTGGCACGGGAAAACCACATAGCAGGACCTGAGAAGGTACAACGTGATTATTTTTTAATATTTTAAGAACAGGAGGAGTCAAAACCTGATATGAGGAACGGTTTATGCTCACATGACTGCTTCCTTCTCAGTGCGGGAGCTCAGGTACCTCTGGACCTGCGCCTGGTTGACGCCATACAGAGCCAACATGAGGAAGACTCCTCCGACACCCAACGTCCAGAAGGTGTGGCGCTCCAGAGGGTCTGGGTTCAGGCTACAGAGAAAGGAACACCTTTGTCCAATTAAATCTGGATAGAGAGTCGTTATCTACCAGCGGGTCCGTTCGGTACTCACTCAAGCCCAGCAATGCGGCTGCCATTGGTGGCTTTCCTCCACACCTCAGCTATACCACCGGCCTGACCGGCTCCCACCACAATGACAGCCAGCTGCCCCGCAAACATCACCACGGTCTGAAACACATCGGTCCAGATGACCGCCTTTAGCCCGCCCTAATGGACGGGAGGACAGAACTAGGTGAGGAAGACCTCCTTTTCAAACACTGCTTTCGTTTTCAACCATTTTAATGGTTATTAAGGATATTAGAACTTACCAGAGCTGTATAGAGAGTACACACTAGTCCCATAGCCAACACTGCCCCCCACAGGTCAAAACCTGTCACTGCAAGTCAGAGAGGAAATAAACCATGCACACAGTGAGGAGCAGCCTTTATGACGGCACAATGCAGAAGGGAGAACTCACTGTGATCTGGAAGAGCTAAAATCTGACAGGAAATGTTTTCTAATATATTCACCTGCATTAAGAGCCAGAGCTGGAGCATAAAGCACTACCCCCATATAAATGACCTGCAGAGAGACACGACTGAACAGTTAAAATCCATACATAGAAAAACACAAACAACAAACACCCCTCCACCTGTTGATATCTGAGACTCAATAACTGTTGAATTTGTTTTCTTCTCAAACTGCAGCGCCTGGTCAAAGTATCCTCAGTTTTTATAGAGTTCTTTTGTTCCCCTATTGTTGCAGCAAACAACATGTTTGTAAATTAAAATTATAAATCATTTTTAATCAAGAAAAGAAACTTTGAAAACCTTGTTTATGAAAACAAAATGTTTATAGAGAAACTTTGCTGTTTTCTAAGATTTATATTTCAATATCAGTTTATAATATTTATATTTTTTTCCTATTTCCGTTTCTCAGTTTGAGCTTTACAAATTGCATTATTTTCAAATTGTGTTTTGCCAAAAATTAAAAATACATAAATAAAAACATAAATCTTAGAAAACAGCAAAATTACTCTCAAAACCTTTTTTTAATCAAGATGTTTTTTCAAGATTTCATTTCTAGATTATATTTCATTCTAATTTCCAGTTACAATTCATTTTCTTGCAACAACAACCTAACAAAATTCTCTCCATACTTTTTTCCATAGTTTGTTGGATAAGAACCACAAACTTCAACATAATGTGTTTCTAGATGAGCAAAGAAGCATGTTTGATTTCCTCAGTAGTTTGGCATACATTTTTATCTTTTAACCCCAAACGTCAGTCAAAAGGGTCGACTTTCCCAGTGGTGGAATCAACACACTGCACAATGTTTACCTAAACTGAGGACGTTCACAGCTCTCCTTATGCCCACATACAGATCACTGGTTAAAGCCAAACCAGTTTAAAAACAGATTCCAGTGTCCACACAGTAACCAGGGGGGAGATGGCTATGGCAGGACAGGGTAAACTCGTCCAGTGGCATCAAGTGTCTGAGGATTTAGGCATTTTCCCTGTATAGAGGTACGTTCAGGAATTAATGGCAGTGAAGCTAACGACAAAAAGTAAGCAATCAGAGCGAAGCGTATTGAACAAAGCAACATTTCAATGGAGTTTAGATGTGATTGTGAAGTAGGGCTAAGGAAAAATACAGATCAGCACCAACATATCCAATACCATCATAGTAAACCAGTGGAGTGCCACAGGGGTGTGTGCTTAGCACCATGATCTTCACTCTGACGACCAATAACTGAACATTATTGGACAGCTCCAACCTGATCACCAGGTTTGCTGATGACACTGTGATACTTAGTCTCAACAATAACTTGGATCAGACTTGGCCCAGTGGAGCAACCACAGCAATCTCTCTGAATGTAGGGAAGGTGCAGGTAATTGCAGGGTTCTGACTGGGATTGCTTATTTGCTGTCAGGGCTGTGGTGCGTTCACTCTAGCCTGCAGGGCCATCAGGCTGTGATGGCCGACTGTCCATGTTCTCAATTCAATTTAGTTTATTTCTATAGCGCCAATTCACAACACGTGTCATCTCAAGCCACTTTCCAGTTCAACCAGATCATCCAGTCACATTGATTCTAAGTTTTCTATCTAAGGAAAACCAGTTGATTGCATCGACTCATTGACTGTAAGGCAATCCCTCACACTAAGCATGCTTGTAGCGACAGTGGAGAGGAAAAACTCCCTTTTAACAGGAAGAAACCTCCAGCAGAACCAGGCTCAGTGTGAGCGGCCATCTGCTGAGGCCGACTGGGGTTCAAGGAGACAGAAGCAGAGATACAAAAAGCAACTATAAAAAGCGGCCCCGTCCAGGAAACACGCAGTCAGGGAGACGAGCTCCGAGCCAGCTGCCATGTCAGAGGATGAAGAGAGCATGAAGTTCTTTGGTCTTTATGATGCCGTTTGTTCACCAAACTGTCCAACGAGCCTCTGAGGCTGTTAAAGCACAGCCTGGGTAACTCTGCTGTACAGAGATGGACTCTTCTGGTGGTATAAATAAAAATGTATGCCACAGTTTTGAGGAATTATGGATAATTTTGGGATGCTTTGTTTTGCCCTGTAACTTAAAAACCACAATAAAATGTATTAAAAATGGTGGCTGTAAAGTGGGAATACATTTGCTGGCGAGTCACTGTCTACAGATATTTAAGGATTTCTGCACAGTTATTCTGGGAAAGTTGAGTGAATAAAACCACTGTTCACACATTTCAATGGATCATTTCAGTTGATTTTTCTTTGGACGGAACATCAAACTCATGTAAGCAGATGATAATGATGGTATAAAAATCATGAAGCAGACGCTCAAACCTAACATTTGCTGGAACAATGTTTCAATCAGACAAAATCAATTCAATCAGACGATTTAGCAGCAAAAACAAAAACACTGGAGATATGAAGCAGATCCAGATACCATCTGAAAGATGAAGGTCGCAGTCCCACATATGCGAACCGTCTTGTTAAAACGCAGTTCCAGATACTGTTGGGGAGAACGTAAAAGACAAACAGCTAAATGAAAATCCCGTTACATATCATCTCAGAGATATTCTAAGGAAGAGGGTCAGCGGAGTGGATCAGAACTGTCGTAAGAAGTTCTGATCAAAGATAAAAATGATTTTTGTCTTGAAAGGACATTATTGCAGTCATTCCCCAGTAAATGACTGATCAGAGAGAAAGATAAATGTCCTTCATAAACATTTAAGATGAGAACATGTACTTGTTCCAAAACGATCTATGCCAAGGCTGGGACAGATAAGAGAGATAAGAAGTTCACCTCTGAGATCATACTTGAGAAAGATAAAAGGTGAGAAAGGAAATGAGCAAAGCGGTCGGACAGCGTGCAAAAAACATTTAAAATAATCTAAAGAAACAAAACATGAATCTACATGTGATGAGTTCAAATAAAACCGCATGCATGCTAGGAGCTCAACACTGACAAAGATGAGATGTTATGTAGGTCTTAACGAGGAGAGAGCAGCGCATCTACTACCAAAATACTCACTACTCTTTTACAGCAGCAGCATAACGTCACACTGAAACTTTAAGCAGCTAATTTAGCTTCATAAAGTTATCCAGTGGAAAAAAAACCCTAGATTGAGCAAGAATTTAATCTAAAAGAGACATATAGCAGAATGCTGGTGAAGCTTCTCACTCATCCAGGTCATAGTCATTCCAAAAAACTTGACTTTCAAGTTTGAAGACATTTTGTTTCCCATCCAGTAATCTTTTTAAATTCAAAATGTCTGCATTAGAATTGAGTTCCAAGCTTCCTAGAGTAGCCCAATAAAGCCTGGTTATGGCCTAACAATGCAGCACTAGTTTATAGCTGCTCCTGCATCCCATTGGCCATCCTAAAAACTTTCATACATTTTTCAACCAAATTATCAAAGTATCAAAGTATTTATTGAGACAGGTTTTTTGGCAGATCACTGTAATTACTGGTTATTAAATAGTCCTTTATTTTTATGACTAAGAAAGCCGGACCCAAGTACTATCAATAAAAATTAAATACAACTAGAGAATGTTAACTTCCTGTGCAAAAAAAGCCCCCTGCCTAAAAAAACCTTCTAGACACCCTGGCAGAAGGTTTTCCTGAACTAAGCCTCACTTCGTTTTCAGATAAGAGTTTCCTTTTAATTATAAACTCAACTGGATCCACTTTTCTCCTCATTAACAGGCTTCCTCTCTGAAACGATCCGCGCTGCTCCAGGTTGATGAGGAGTCGGTGAACAGGAGCAGCACAGCACAAACTGATCATCAAATAATGGCTCCATATTAAAGGAGACTCATTAGATAGTTGTTAGTTTTTGTCCAGGTGGTAAATAACTGTAAAAAGTTAAATAATTATTAAAACCCAACCTTTTTTATTACCTTAGAGTTAAACCTGATCTTGCAGAATTTCAGCTTCAATTTAAAGCATTTGTTTAGGAGAAACAAATGGCTGGAAAAGCCTCATGTCAGCCCTTATCCCTGATGATTATGTCCTGTTTGCAGCCTTTAAGGTGGAATAGTAAGGTCTGAAAATGTTTATATCCATCCTTCCATCTTCTTCCTCTTATCCGGGGTCAGGTAGCAGCTTCAGTAGGGAGGCCCAGACGTCCCTCTCCTCAGTCACTTGGTCCAGCTCCTCTGAGGGAACCCCAAGGTGCTCCCAGGCCAGCCGAGAAACATAGTCCCTCCAGGATGTCCTGGGTCTCCCCCTGGGTCTCCTCCCAGTGGAACGTGCCTGAAATACCTCACTAGGAGGCATCCTAACCAGATGCCTGAGGCACCTCAACTGGCTCCTCTCGATGTGGAGGAGCAGCGGCTCTACTCTGAGTCCTCACTGGATGACTGAGCTCCTCACCCTATCTCTAAGCGAGAGCCCAGACACACTACGGAGAAAACTCATTTCAGCCGCTTGTATCCGGGATCTCGTTCTTTCAGTCATGACTCAAAGCTCATGACCATAGATGAGGGTAGGAACGTAGATGGACGGTAAACCGAGAGCTTTGCTTTTTGGCTCAGCTCTGTCTTCACCATAACAGACCGGTACAGAGCCCGCTTCACAGCAGACGCCGCACCAATCCGCCTATCGATCTCCCGCTCCATCTTCCCCTCATTCATGAACAAGACCCCAAGATACTTAAATTCCTCCACTAGGGGCAGTACATCCTCCCCAAGGCACTCTACCCTTTTCCGGCTCAAGAACATGGTGTCGGATTTAGAAGCAAATGTTTATATAATAGGCCAAATGGATAAAAAATGTATTTTTATCAAATGTGGATTTTTATATAGTTTCCAGATTGAGATTATGCTGCTGCAGTAAAAAAAATAGGTCAATTTTTTTTTTTTTAAAAGCTTGATGTACGTTTTCTTCTGGTTGTGAATAAGCGTAGGGGTGGGGGGGTTGCAGGTACCTCGTAGGCGCTGGACAAACGCAGTCTGTAAAAGATCGGGATGAATATGTGGGCTGGGATTAGCAGACCCAAAAAGTAGGAGACGCCCAGGAACCAGTACTGTGTCCCAAAGGCGTAGACCTCAGACGGCGCGCCCAGGATGGCCACGGCGGACTGGAAGGTGGCCAGCAGGGACAGCGACACTGGGAGGCAGCTCATGGAGCGGTCAGCCATCAGGAACTCCTGAGAGAAACAGGATGCTGATGTAGGACCTTTAAGAAAAACATGATGCCCTGGAGAAAAAGGTAAATGTTTACCTGTGTCGTGCGCTGACGCCCGCCGGAGAAGGCGTAGAAGAGGCCGATGCCGGCAGAGGCCACCAGCAGCAGAACGAAGATGACGTAGTCCACCGTGGTGAAGTGCATCTGGACCACCTCCCCCATGATGGGGCTGGAGGCAGCAGGTATGTACCAGCAGGGCTTTGATTATGATGCTGGAGAAAGCCGTTTACCCATGGCGGCGTTCACTGAGGGTCAGACAAACAGATAACGTCAGGATCCATCCAATGACATTGCAGGAATTCTTAACAGACGGTGCGATCCGGCAGTGCTAATGTGCTGCTGCTGCTCAGACCGTCTTTATGGACCCTGGATGTACACAGAGCAGGAGGTTTATGACTATTCTGTAACCAGTGGTTTCTGGGACACGGGGTCAATCTTTAGCAGCCAGGAGCAACGGTTAAACTTTGAGCTATGCTCTGACTTTAACAGCCACAGGTTATGAAGGCAGGGAGAGAACATAAAACCACCTGAGAAACGGTGGAACGGCACTTTGTTATCCGCCACCATCTGTGGCCCTCCTGACTTTATTACGGGAAACTCCTGTAGATCATGAAGCGTTAGGATGTCAGAGCACGTTTTGGTCGGAGAGCAGGTCCCATCAGGTCAAAGTGGCGGTGAAGCAGGGTGGGAATGTGGAACTGGAGAAAACGCAGGATTTACCTCACCGAGTTCACAGCCGACTGAAGCGGCTGAGATGAACATGAGTTCCTCCAAGTCGGAGGCATATGGTCATATTTCCTCTTTAGGTTGGAGGAGAGCTCCTGTCTTTGCTGGTCCTCTACAATTCCTTTTTAAACATCTAAAATATTCTGTCATGATTTGTGGACATTAAGATCTAAAGAGAAGCGTCATCTCCTGGTCAGACCCTGCAATTCAGTGAAAGGATGGAGTCAGAGTTAAAAAGATGCACGCCAATGAGAGGGCCAGTGGCTGGAAGTTGGAGGGGATTGTGCTGCCATTCGGCTCGCTGTTGACTGGAAAAGGGTCATTTTGAATGTCTGCTACTGTAGGTGTCCTGTTCATGAGTGAGGGAAGAAACGGGTGAGATGAGTGAGGCTGCTGCTCCAATGTGAACGCTGCACTGGTCTGCTGTGGTGAAAATGGAGCTGAGTGACAAGGCAATTGATTTACCGGTTGGCCTACATTCCTACCCTCATCTATTGTCATCATATCTGGATCATGACTAAAAGGACGAGATAAAAAAATTAAATCTCAATATGTCTTTTTTTTTTTCTTTTGATGAGAAAAGTGAGACTCTATGCCAATGGAACATGACAATTGCTTTTAAAATAAGAGAAAACAACTGCATCATCTTATTCCAAGTGCATATTATATAATTATCTTATTTTAACAGTAAAAATACTCATTCCATTGGCAAAAAAACCTTATTTACCTGCACAAATTGAGGCTTTATACACTTAATTTACAATTTTTTAACTTATTTTCTAGATTGTTTTTGCAGTGCAGATACAAGCAGCTCAAATGTCCGAGTTATGTAGAAACCAACCAGTTGCAGAATGAAAAAAGTAAGATGGGGCAGTTTTTAATTAGGTTAAAGAGGCTTAAAGTTCATGTTTTAAGCCCAAACATCAGCTTCTTGAATCCATTGACCATCCAGACAGGAAGTGGTTCGAGCAAACTGAGAAACCATGAATCATGTTGATCCTCATGTTGCCTGAGCCAAAGCAGGGGTGAAATATCTGGCACCTGTTTCAGTTAATGAATTAATGATTTGATAGCAAAATATGCTAAATAGCAGATTTTCTTTTATTTAATCTAAGGATTTATGGATATTTACAGACATAGAAGCTGCTTTTTTATTCTTAAATAAAAAAAAAGTATATTACTTTGTACAATTTTGGCTAAACTGCTGTGGAAAAGTTCGCTCATATTCAGAATTCAAACTTTTGAAGTACTTTAAATATGAAATGATTACATACTGATCAATAAATGTGTTTTATTAATGCAGAGTAATTTTCATTTGAATGTGCTTTACTGGAGGCATCCATGTTTGTCAAAGAACACTACTGCCACCTACTGGTTTGTGACGTCACGGTGCGGTATCGGCTGTTGATCAAGTCCCAGTGCTGTATCTGGTGTTTGTCACAACGCGCTATTATCCAAGTCATCTTGAAAACATTCTTCTTCCAAATGTTGGCTACATATTACGGGTTTTTTCTCTGGCCAGAAGTTCGATGGCAAATCCTCCCTCTTCAAGTTGGCGATCCAACGACCAAGCCGTCCGTGGAGGATCAAGAATCAGAAAGGTGAAATAACTCTTTTATTTCCACTTTTACCCAAAGTATTCCAACATCCAGCTGCCATGCACGTGGGCATTGTCAGTTTCACTATAGCTCTGGTGAATTTCAATGGTGAAGTCCTCTGGAAATCTTCAATAATTGTTGTTGATTGCAGATGTGTCTAGTAGTTCCCATTGATTTAGCTTGTAAAGCGGGGAGAATGGCGCTAGGCTTACCGCACCGTGACGTCACTGCTGGAAGATGGCAGGAGGGAGGCTTTACTATATGTGGGCAAAAATGGCCGCTCCCAGACTCAGTGATCGCAACAAATCTTTTTTTTTATTGATTAACACTAAATTCATTAAATTACTGCAAACGGATTAGTTTTATGTATAAATAATGATCCATTAACTATCCTTGGTGACCGGACTTTTCCTTTAATGTCTGAAGATACCAGTTAATTACTCAGTAACTATATTAGTGAATTATTTAGATTAAACCTTTCAGTTCTCAGCACAAGGAATACTAATAGCACTAAACTTCTGCATGATATTTAAAGCAGAGTATGAAAAAAAAAACCTCTGTATAAATGGCATACAGAGTAGAGCTTCACTGCAGCTGTACCAACATCATACATCAGAGTGAACTGAAACAGAAAGCTATTTTTTTCTTAAATTAATTTTCTTCTTTTAATAAAGTACAGCTGCATTTTGGAGGCCGCTAACTCCAAATTCATAAACCCACAAACACCATTAGGTATTTTAGGATGTGGCAGACTGAGTAAAGGAGGGAGCAGAGAGCAGCTGCTGCTGGTTCTGAACGCCCACAGCTGTAAAGCTGGAGTTAGAAGAATCCTATCTGGTCAGCTTTAATCAAACATCAATGTTATAAAATAAATGGCTGACAGCCTTTAAAAATCTGCTTCAGGCTTCTTTTAGGTGGGATTATTGTAACGCAAAACATTATCCAGCTATGTGTGGAAATAAGAAACTTAATAAATAAACCCTGCCCTTTGGTCAGGTGATCTCTGCGGTCAACAATGAGGACGGGTCGTTTTTCCCTCCATGCTGGGCTCTATATCCCAGATCCAACATGGATCAAATGGTTCCTTTCACAACTTGTTCTTCTCACCAAGTATTACAGAAACAGAGCAGCTGCCTGCAGAGAGAACGGTTCAAGGCTTAGAGCGGGCAGAGAGCCGAGGAGACCGTTACCTACCTACCTCATCTTCAGTCATCGATTAGGAAAAACAAAATCTGTTTCTAAATCATTTCTGTTTTCTTAAAACCCATTTAAACACCCATCCGCACCATTGATCATATATGAACATTTACATTTTAAAACGGATGTATTATCCCAAAGCAGCTGATAATGAGTAGTTTACCGTTAATTTCATCAAGGAATAAATTTACACCCAGAGGGATTTCTAAATACACGTTGATTGGCTTAAAAAAAGCTGGGGATAATAAATGTATTTCCATCTCTAGACTAAAGAAAAAACGCTTCCTATTGTCTAGCTCCATTCATGAAGGATGCAGAAATAACTAGGTGTTCATAAGGTTTTGATGTTTTTTGGTTTTTAAACACTTTGCCAATGGACTAAGTTTTTTTACTCTGAAAATAAGATAATACTTACTTGAAATAACAGACTGCAGACGTTTTTTCTTATTTTAAATGTAAATTGTCTTGTTCCATTGGCAGAGAGTCTCACTTAACCTCCTAAAGTCAAGAAAAAGTTCACTTATTTTAATAGAAATTTTAGTAAGTTTTCCATTTTTTTCCCCAGTGTAACCCAACACCTTCTTCACACTAGGGCTGAATTATACATTCATATTTAGCTTTAATATCTATTTTATAAAGAAATAAAATTAAAGGTTTGCAAAATAAAACAAAAACTCGCTATCAGAGCCCTAACCAGTTACCCTTGGAGCTCTGCTGATTGCCGTGGTCCTCTCAGTTCCTGAAAATTTTTTCATTTACACATTAAATTGGTGAATGGGCCATATAGTGACCCTTAAAAGGATAATGTTCTAGCCTCGAATGATCTTAAAAAACAGAAAAGAGAACTTTAAACTTTAAATTAGACGGAGGAGACTTATCCAAGACCTCCTTCACTAAACTCTCCTCCTCTTGCATGTTTCCTCTGTCCATAGCGTTCCTTGACAGTGTCGTTTCTAAGTCACCAATTTAGTGCTACTTGGTCCCAATGGAATTTCCCATTGGGAACCTGCTAGCACTAAGTTGCTAACTGGTTAGCAACTTGCTTCCGAGAAACCGGACACAACCAAACTTGCTTGCAAACCTTCCGCCACAGCAATCCACAGCAATTTTTTAAAACTCCTACATTGTTCACACTGACGTCGTCATGACGATACATTCACCATACATTTCTGCAACCATATAATGAATATAAATATGGGCAATATGGAATGGGCAGAGCAGTGTGATGCATAAAAAAGGGGTTAATTCCAGCTTCCTCTCTATACTTGTTGATGTGCCCCTGAGCAAAGCACTCGACCCTTCGTTCCCCACCCAGATGTATGGGTGTATAAATGAACTCCTTTGAGGTTCATTCTACTATTATTTGAGTCCATTTAACATGATTCAGATCAAAGCCTGATAAAGACCAGATGCTTTGATCTCATTTTCTATTAAATTGGTTTAAAGTTCGCCGTCAGGACCAATGAGTGAAAATCACAGCAGGAATGTGCTCTGCTCCCTCATAAGGGCTGGTTCCCAGGGACGGCGTTTAAATCCTAAGGTCAGGCGTTCTGATACGTTTGAACCGGTTCCTTCCTCTATGCACCTGAAAATAAAGGCCTTCTGAAAGGTGCAGCAGAAACGATAGAGAGAGATGGCTCTCTTCCTTTATAAAACCATTTCTGCAGCAGCAAATGAAAAAACAATTAAAGTGTTCGTGTGTGACAGTGAATTTGGGATAAGGA